GATGGTGTGTCCGAACATCATAACTGCACCCTATTGGATATGATGCATACCATGATGTCTCTTACCGAATTACCACTATTGTCCATGGGTTAGGCATTAGAGACAACCACATTCACTTTAAATAGGGCACCACGTAATTCCGTTGAGATGACACCGTATGAATTATGGTTTAGAGAAACCTAAGTTGTCGTTTCTTAAAGGTTTGGGGCTGCAACGCTTATGTGAAAAAGTTTCAGGATTGATAAGCTCGAACCCAAAGCGGATAAAATGCATCTTCATAGGACACCCAAAACAGTTGGGTATACCTCCTGTCTCAGATCCGAAAGCAATAAGGGATTGTTTCTAGAATCAGGTACTTTCTCGAGGAAAAGTTTCTCTTGAAAGAATTGAGTGGGAGGATGGTGGAGACTTGATGAGGTTATTGAACCGTCTCTTCAACTAGTGTGTGGCAGGGCACAGGAAGTTGTTCCTGTGGCACCTACACTAATTGAAGTGGAAGCTTATGATATTGATCATGAAACTTCGGATCAAGTCACTACCAAACCTCGTGGGATGACAAGGATGCGTACTACTTTAGAGTGGTACGTAATCCTGTCTTGGAAGTCATGTTTCTAGACAACAATGAGCCTACGAGCTATGGAGAAGCGATGGTGGGCCCGGATTCCGATAAATGGCTTGAGGCCATAAAATCCGAGAGAGGATCCATGTATGAAAACAAAGTGAAGACTTTGGCAGAACGGCTCGATGGTCGTAAGGCAAATGAGTACGGATGGATTTTAAAAGGAAGACAGACAATGATGGTAAGAATTACCATTAAGAAAGCTCGACTTGTCGTTAAGATGTTTTCCGACAAGTTCAAGGAGTTGACTACGATGAAATTTTCTCACTCGTAGCGATGCTAAGAGTCTGTTGGAATTATATTAGCGATTACTGCATTATTTATGAAATCTTGCAGATAGGATGTCAAAACATTGTTTCCTCGACGATTTTCTTGAGGAAAGGTTGTATGTGATACAACCGGAAGGTTTTGTCAATCCCGAAAGATGCTAATAAGTATGCAAAGCTCCAGCAATCCTTCTAAGGACTGGAGTGAGCATCTCGGAGTTGGAATGTATGCTTTGATGATGATCAAAGATTTTGGGTTTGTACAAAGTTTATGAGAAACTTGTATTTCCAAAGAAGTGAGTGGGAGCACTATAGAATTTCTGATGAGTATATGTTGTTGACATATTGTTGATCAGAAATGACGTAGAATTTCTGGAAAGCATATAGGGTTATTTTGAAAGTGTTTTTCAATGGAAAGCCTGGATTAAGCTACTTGAACATTGAGCATCAAGATCTATAAGGATAGATCAAAATGCTTAATAATACTTTCAAATGAGCACATACCTTGACATGATCTTGAAGGTGTTCAAGATGGACCAGTCAAAGAAGGAGTTCTTGCCTGAGTTGTAAGGTACGAAGTTAAGACTTAAAGCTCGACCTCGGCAGAATAGAGAGAAAGGATGAAGGTCGTCCCCTATGCTTAAGACATAGGCTCTACAGTATGCCATGCTGAGTACCGCACCTGAAGTGTGCCTTGCCATGAGTCAGTCAAGGGGTACAAGAGTGATCCATGAATGGATCACAGACAGCGGTCAAAGTTATCCTTGGTAACTAGTGGATTAAGGAATTTTCTCGATTATGGAGGTGGTAAAAGAGTTCGTCGTAAAGGTTACGTCGATGCAAGCTTAACACCTATCCGGATAGCTCTAAGAAGAGATACCGGATACGTATTATGGGGCAACAATTTAGAATAGCTCCAAGTAGAACAGTTATTTGGAATAGCTCCAAATAGAGCGTGGTAGCTACATCTAGGAGATGACATAGAGATTTGTAAAGCACACACGGATCTGAAAGGTTCGGACCCGTTGACTAAAACCTCTCTCACAAGCAACATGATCAAACCTAAAACTCTTGGGTATTAGTCACATGGCGATGTGACCTGTGAGTGTTAATCACATGGCGATGTGAACTAGATTATTGACTCTAGTGCAAGTGGGAGACTGTTGGAAATATGCCCTAGAGGCAATAATAAAAGTGTTATTATTATATTTCCTTGTTCATGATAATTGTCTTTTATTCATGCTATAACTGTATTATCCGGAAATCGTAATACACGTGTGAATACATAGACCACAATATGTCCCTAGTGAGCCTCTAGTTGACTAGCTCGTTGTGATCAACAGATAGTCATGGTTTCCTGGCTATGGACATTGGATGTCGTTGATAACGGGATCACATCATTAGGAGAATGATGTGACGGACAAGACCCAATCCTAAGCCTAGCACAAAGATCGTGTAGTTCGTTTGCTAGAGCTTTGCCAATGTCAAGTATCTCTTCCTTTGACCATGAGAGCGTGTAACTCCTGGATACCGTAGGAGTGCTTTGGGTGTATCAAACGTCACAACATAACTGGGTGACTATAAAGGTGCACTACAGGTATCTCCGAAAGTATCTATTGTTTTATGCGGATCGAGACTGGGATTTGTCACTCCGTGTAAACGGAGAGGTATCTCTGGGCCCACTCGGTAGGACATCATCATATGTGCAATGTGACCAAGGAGTTGATCACGGGATGATGTGTTACGGAACGAGTAAAGTGACTTGCCGGTAACGAGATTGAACAAGGTATTGGATACCGACGATCGAATCTCGGGCAAGTAACATACCGATAGACAAAGGGAATTGAATACGGGATTGATTAAGTCCTTGACATCGTGTTCATCCGATGAGATCATCGTGGAACATGTGGGAGCCATCATGGGTATCCAGATCCCGCTGTTGGTTATTGACCGGAGAACGTCTCGGTCATGTCTGCATGTCTCCCGAACCCGTAGGGTCTACACACTTAAGGTTCGATGATGCTAGGGTTATAAAGGAAGTTTGTATGTGGTTACAGAATGTTGTTCGGAGTCCCGGATGAGATCCCGGACGTCATGAGGAGTTCCGGAATGGTCCGGAGGTAAAGATTTATATATGGGAAGTCCTATTTTGGCCACCGGAAAATGTTCGGGATTTTTCGGTATTGTACCGGGAAGGTTCTAGAAGGTTCCGGAGTGGGGCCCACCTGCATGGGGGGACCCACATGAACGTGGGTAGTGGGGGCAAGGCCCCACACCCCTGGTCAAGGCGCACCAAGATCCCCCCTTAGAAGGAATAAGATCATATCCCGAAGGGATAAGATCAAGATCCCTAAAAAGGAGGGATAACAATCGGTGGGGAAGGAAATAATGAGATTTCTTTCCTCCCACCTTGGCCAACGCCCCAATGGACTTGGAGGGCAAGAAACTAGCCCCTCCACCCCTATATATAGTGGGGAGGCGCATGGGAGCTATACACGAAGTTCTGGCGCAGCCCTCCCCCTCTCCAACTCCACCTCCTCCTGAGTAGTGCTTGGCGAAGCCCTGCAGGATTGCCACGCTCCTCCATCACCGCCACGCCGTTGTGCTGCTGCTGGATGGAGTCTTCCTCAACCTCTCCCTCTCTTCTTGCTGGATCAAGGCGTGGGAGACGTCATCGGGCTGTACGTGTGTTGAACACGGAGGTGTCGTCCGTTCGGCACTAGGATCATCGGTGATTTGAATCACGACGAGTACGACTCCATCAACCCCGTTCACTTGAACGCTTCCGCTTAGCGATCTACAAGGGTATGTAGATGCACTCCCCTTCCCTCGTTGCTCGTTTCTCCATAGATAGATCTTGGTGACACGTAGGAAAATTTTAAATTTCTGCTACGTTTCCCAACATAAAATCCTAACAGACACCATGGTATGATTTCAGTAAAGATTCTTGGATATATCTTCACTCTATTATTACGGCGCGTGTGGTGCATGCAACATACTGCCATAGACCTGCAATGTTTAGGGTTCCTCGGTCTCCCGCCGCCCCGCCTCGTATCTGTTGGCCTTAGAGTCATGACGGCACGGTGGATCCTGCTCTTTGCCGGTGGGAGGGCTATGTTTTTATACCTCCTTCGAGTCTTGTTTGGGTTTGTGTTCTACTCAGAAAGACGAGGTGGTGCGGTTCCCTGAAGATGGATAAGGGTGTCCCCGCCTAGCCCCGTCCTGGTAGTGTGTCTAGCATCGTTGGTGGATGTGTGGATCTGTCCTTAGTGAGTTTGCTCGGATCTGGTTATACTTCGTCTACGTTTGTGTTTCTTCAGGTTGAATTCTTCCGATCTACGGTACTCTTCACAAGTGGCGATTGCCGTTCTGCTGCATTGGTCCTATGGGGCTTTAGCACGACGACTTCACGACTATCTACTACAACAAGTTTTGTCCGACTTCGGCGAGGGAGGGTCAATGACGGCGGCGTGCCTTCGGCTCACTTCAGTGCTTGTAGTCGTCGCTAGGTGGACTACGGATCTGGATGTAATTTTTATTATTTCTGGTCTTCGTTGTACTCTTTTTGATTGAAAATGAATAGATAAAAAAATTCTCAAAAAAAATATATTACGGCGCGTGTGTTTAGGATTTCCGCGAAGGAAAGGAAAGAAGAAGAAGAACCATACTCTGCCTCGCTCTCGGTGGGAGGAGAAAATTCAACCGCGTGCCAAATCAAGAGCCAGGATTTAAAGTCCCGGGAGTTTAGAACCTTCCGAAGTCACAATCTGACTCCCGGGATTAAATAGCCACTGTCCCTCAAACAACACGAGAAATAAAAACAAAAAGTTTCTTAGCCGCGTGGTGGTGCGAGACTCCGGTCCAGAGCGGGGGCGGCCGGCCGGCAGACCGCCAAGAAACCAGACCACCTCCCGTCTCCGTCCTCGGCCACCACCACCGCCACCTGCCCGCGCCTCCCCTCCACCGCTCCTCCTACAAGAACCCCCCTCGCCTGCCTGCGCTGCCAGCCTACGCCGTGCGAGTCAACCTCTCCTCTCCATCTCTCGTGGTCGTGGGGATCTCGCGCGCTCCTCCCGGAATCAGGCGCCGGCGGTCGGAGGGACAAAGACACGGACATGGAGGCGGTCGCGGCGGCCGGTGGCGCCGGGCTGGCCGGGTGGCAGGCGGCGGCGCTGTCGGGCGCGGCGGGCTGGGTGTGGGCGGCCTCCCACTACGACCTCACGCGCCGGGCGCGCGCGCTGGCGCAGCCCTGGGTCACCCGCCGCGTCCACGCCGAGACGCCCTCCATCCTCACCTTCCAGGTCCGTTCCCCTCCCCCCAATCCCTGCTTTTTCCACCTCGTTTCCGCCAACGGAAGGTTCTCTCCAAAGGAGGAAAGGCCACGCACAGTTCCAGTTCCTGCATTTGGGGGTATCTCGTTGCGCAATCTGGATACCATTACCCGTTCCAGCACGCGGTTGCTGCTCGATTCGTTAGTCCTAGGACGAAGAAGAACCAATTAGGTGATCGAATCATGTAAAGAGAGATTAATTTGGCTTGAAACAAACGAGGAGAATTATCATCGTCTTGTACAAAAACATCGATGACATCTATGATGCATGCATTTTATTTTAAACCTGGCCTCGATTCCTAAGCTGTTCTTGCTTGTATTTTTCTGAAGGGGAAAAATCCCTGTCTGTTCAATTATTGCAGAGGCTGCAGCACAGGTTGCTGGACAACTTCTTCTCCGTGCTGTCATGCTTTGTCTCTGTCCCTTTCTACACGGGATTCCTCCCCCTCCTCTTCTGGGTATGCTCCAGCCACTCCCCTGCCATGTCTTGTGGCACATTAATCGCCTCTTATTCTGCTTCTGTAATTCTGAGCTGTTTTCGTGGATGTGTAGAGTGGACATGGCAAGCTGGCTAGGCAAATGACCCTGCTGCTGGCCTTCTGCGATTACCTGGGCAACGCTGTCAAGGTTGCCATCTACTCACACAAAAATGGGTGCAAGCTGGGTTTTTGCTGTTTTGGTTGGTTTGGTTGTTGACACCTTGGGAATTTGTGGTTGTAGGATTTAGTGTCAGCTCCTCGGCCGTGTTCCCCTCCCGTGAGGAGAGTCACAGCTACCGAAGATGAGAAGGAAAATGCCATGGAATATGGACTGCCTTCATCGCACGCTCTCAACACCGTTTGTTTGATGGGGTATTTTCCTGTTTCAATCAAAGAGTTGCTGTATTTATTGGGTTTGCCTGGCTAATTCTGACATGGAAAAATGCAGATACATGTTACATTATGTCCTCACATATGGACCATGTGATGGTTTCACGATTGCCACGGGTCTTTCTCTAGCTTTCATGCTCGTTACGTTAATTGGAATTGGTGAGTTCTTTTATTTCTCCGCACAACTGTCTCTTACAGTTACCGAAAGATACTGATGATGTGGCTTACATGAAATTTTATAGCGAGGGTATACTTGGGCATGCACAGCTTGACCGACGTTATCGCTGGGATCTCTTTTGGCATCGTGATCCTTGCATTCTGGTTGGTTGTCCATGATCATGTTGATGCCTTTGTCGTCTCCGGCCAAAATGGTATGTCCATATGCCTCAACATTACTTTGACTCTAGTAGCGATAAATAAATTGTGATATCCAAAGGAGAAGAACATTCTCATAGTTGTTTTCTTCTGCAGTCACATTCTTCTGGGCAAGCCTTTCTCTAGTGCTCTGCTTTGCATATCCAAAGCCAGAATTCCCAACTCCTAGCTTTGAATTCCACACAGCATTCAACGGGGTCGCTTTCGGAATTGTAAGAACTCTGACCTCTCTGTGTATGAAATATGGTTACTTGATCCAAAGATTGTATTGCTCGTAATCTTGTTTTAGAATTCTGCTCACACGGAAGATATTACTTAAGAATTTGTGATGGAAATTCAGTTACCATTCACATTTGAAGTGTAATCAGCAGAGAATAGTCTTCACCATTGACTGAATATAGTTGACCCAAAAGAATTCTTGGAACTAAATCTAGCTCTAGTTTCTCCCATGCTCTTCCAGTTGTTGATAAATCATGTTTACCCTTATCTGACACTGTTCTCTACCCTTATCGATTCAGGTCTACGGCGTGCAGCAGACGTACACCCGTTTCCATGGCCCGGAAGCCCCCCTCATTCTCAGCCATCAACTACCCCTCCTCGCCTATGCTGGGAGGGTCCTTGTGGGGATCCCGACCATCCTGGCCGTGAAGTCCTGTAGCAAGGCGCTCTCGAAATGGCTCCTGCCGGTCATGTGCAGCACCCTGGGGGTCCCGATCGTCTCGTCCTGCTATGTGCCCGCGCTGAAGCCATCCGACATTGGCGGCGGCTCAGGCAACAAGGACGAGGCCAAGCAGGCCGGCGGATACCTCCAGCGGCTCTTCTCCCTCTTCCCTCAGAAGGCGTATGATGTAGACACCGGCATCAGGTTCGTGCAGTACGCCGGGCTTGCGTGGTCGGTGGTCGACCTGGTGCCGGTGATCTTCACGCATCTGAACCTGTGAGGCCGATCGAATTAGCGAGTCAAGGTTAGCAGCATTTTGTTTATTTCTTCGGAGGAGGGGTGATCCCTCCTCCATGTCTCGCAGGCTGTAGATCCATTGACCTCAGCCTCATTTTTGTGTTGTATGTTTATCTGTCTAGCACGTCCTCTAGCGGGTGGTGTTTTTCTTTTTGTACAGTTGTCCAAAGTAGCAACGAGGAAAGTATACACGTGATGGCCTTGTTTTTGTGTGATTGATGGGAACAGCTACTGACTGCCATGTGCGCCATTAGTGCTTAATAACTGAATCCTCAGTCTGACATATATAACTGCAGAAAAGATAGTATGCTTCCTTATCGCCTTTCATCATCCCTGTATATGGCTGGGTTTGTTAGTCCCTGGGGTGGGTCATTTTGGAGACCGAGCCTCATGGAGGCCTTTATGTTGAAAATTTCAAAGTTCTTTATTTTTAAATATTCTGAACAAACACACATGTATGCAAGGATGTAATGGATACGTGTGACAAAGGATGAAATACTTTGAATTGCGAGCTGCACAAAAAAAAATCATGGCCTCATCTTTTTGTGTAGCTCTCATTTTAACGTATTTCGACCTGAAAATTTGCACACATGTACTACATTATGTATCTAGGTATATGCGCATCTCTTTCAGAATTTTTTGAAACTGAAAAGTTTGAATTTTGAAGTTTTCAAATGAAGGCCTCCATGGAGCTCGGTCTCCGTTTGGCCTTTTGGCTGTATTTTGGATCAAACTTTGCCCATAGGTTATATGCCACAAAAACCATGTTGTTGGATTTTTTTAAAATTATATTATTCTAAACAAGTTCCCCGTGGTAACGTTGTCGTTACATATAGCTCTTATTTATTAGTCAGTTTTATGATCAAAGATACAAGTGAGACTTACAAACCCTAACGGAGGAAGTATGTCGTTACTGTTATTATCTTTAAGTAAAAAAGATAGCGGATAGCGGAGTCTAGTTTTTTTATTAAGCTGATGATGAAATATGAATGTGTGGATTGACTTGAGCACATTGACTGTGAACCATGTGTGACTGCCGTTGAGAAGTCGTGCTTGCCAAGTGGAACCTGCTTGTGCTCGTACGCAACTGCGGCCGTGGGTGAGATTATGTCAGGGAGGGAGAAACAATTTTATCTGACCGTCACCATTGACGTTGGGAGTGGAAAGCGAGCGAGGGAGGAAGAAGCTGTCGACATGCCTGCACAACCACAGCGCGTCACCACCCGTTGCCGACTGGGCCTGGCAATGCTGCATCGCTTTCTACTCCCAACGTATTGCAGAATCTATCTCCTGGCCTCTGCACGCTATGATTTGTGGCTGCAAACAGCTCAAATCTTAGGCCGCTGACGAACATTGCTCGGAAACAGTACACGTTTGCCTAAACATGCAGAGCAATGGTATTTTTTAATTCACATGCGATTAAAACACAATGAAATACTCCTATATTGATCAATGCCGTAGCATGGAAAATATGCTCAGTCCAAGAAAATACTGGTCGGAAGCGAAAATCATTTGGAAGCATAATAAGAATAATAATGTTTGCTCTTCTTTGTGGATCATGCCCACATCTTTTGCACCATTCATAAACAAAAAATATCCACTAACCAGACAAACATTCATAATTCATATTTCATACCACAGCCAACACCACACAGACAGTGCTCAACATGCTACCAAGTATTCTATACGGAAAATCAATACGGGTTCACAACACCTAAGGGGACCATAACCATACAACTACATTGTCCATCTCTACAACAAATAATCATCAAAATGAAA